TCTACTATGCCAAGGAATCCAGAGAACATTCAACCTGGAAAAACTCCAACTCCAAAACAGCACCTCCCAAGAGATGACTACAACTCCTGTAGGAAATCATTTAACCACAAATTCCAACTCCCCTTCACTCCCACAGCCTCAGTCATACATCTCAAAGGGCTGATCCCTTGGATCATGACAACCTGACCCACATCAGTGGCCCAGAGGCCATATGGCAACATAATGCCTCTCCAGCCCACTGGGAAGGAAAAGGGAGGGACAGCCAATTGAATTATTGTAATTGAAATCCTACAATTTATGATTTGTCAATAACTCCTGCCTTTGGGGGAGTTCTCTTCCCCCTTAACAAATCCTAATAGCCATAATATGTATAACCACAGAAACTCAAAACATATCTGAAACTCATTGTGTGCTCACCATGAGATGAAGAATAAAATCTAGCTAGGGTAGGAAAGAAGTCTCACTTCACAAAGATCACTATTCCAAGGTCATAAAATTGTAAAGGCTTAGGGGAAAAAAAAACCTTTGGATTCTGAAGATAAAGTGTTAGTACCCAAGTGGATCAGCTTTATTGGCAGGAAGTGGGACATGGAGACCCATGTACTATCCTCCTATTCATCCCATAAAGTGGAATCAATAGTCCTGTTACCCAACAGTTATTAAATGGTACTGATCATGTGGCCATCTAAGCTGAACAAAGAAATGCTCCTGAATCATGGAATAACAATTCTCAGGCTGACAGGAGGATATACCAGACATCTAGCATCTCTGTCTCATGCTCATCTCCTTGTAACTGAAGCAAACTGGTGCAAGTGTATAGGATTTAGAGTGAAAAGCCCCGAGTTGAAGGCCTGGCTCCTGACTTTTTAAATTGCTAGCTATACAATATTACACCTCATGGTCTTCAACTTCAATGTGAGGCTATACTAGTGATTGGGAAGGTTTCATCCAAATACACAAGAAGTATAGGGAGATAGGAAACTCTCCAAAGATAATTATGTTCATATTTGGAGAATTCTGGTGATTAGACAGTTGTTTACTACACAAAACTAAAATGTGCTTTCCTTCAGTTTCTACTGTGTTCAGCCTATCTTGGGATTGTATAATACCTCTTCTATAAAACAGTCACTCATATAACTCCTATATCTCTCATCCAATTCCCATCCATTCACCTCTCCTGGTTCCATTTACCACTTATCTAGCCAATCAATCTATTTACTTTACTCAGAACACAAATTTCCCACATCTTGATTGAAAAGTGGTCACCTAGGCCGGCGCCGCGGCTCACTAGGCTAATCCTCCGCCTTGCGGCGCCGGCACACCGGGTTCTAGTCCCGGTCAGGGCGCCGGATTCTATCCCGGTTGCCCCTCTTCCAGGCCAGCCCTCTGCTGTGGCCAGGGAGTGCAGTGGAGGATGGCCCAGGTGCTTGGGCCCTGCACCCCATGGGAGACCAGGAAAAGCACCTGGCTCCTGGCTCCTGCCATCGGATCAGCGCGGTGCGCCGGCCGCAGCGCGCCGGCCGCGGCGGCCATTGGAGGGTGAACCAACGGCAAAGGAAGACCTTTCTCTCTGTCTCTCTCACTGTCCACTCTGCCTGTCAAAAAAAAAAAAAAAAAAAAAGAAAAGTGGTCACCAGAACTGAACAGGTGAGAAACAAACTAATCGATGTCAAGGGAAGAACACCGGCACTTAACGTGCTTCTTAATTTAGCGTAGCCATTTTGGTTATGACACCTCTCTCCTACCACCTCAATACTGCATCTTTTACTCATGCTTCTTCCCTATCCTTATGAAATTGAATTTAGCACTCAAGTCAGAATTTTACATTTCTTTCAGTAAAATTCATTTTATTAGAGTTGAGCCCTTGACGTGGCATACAAAAACCCTCCTAAATCCTCAGTGTACTCTCAAAACATATCTACCTGTTCACATTTTTATGCAAGTTATTGAAAAAGTATAATGATGATAATATGATTGAGAAAATAGTCAAAGCCTTCACACTGACATGAATTTGAAAGATTTGGGTCTTCTGTTCATTAATATGTCAGAGTGCCCTCCCTCCTGCCATTCTCTAGACTCTATCTTCCTCAGCTCACTCCGAATGCACACTCTAGTATTTTGTTCTGCTCCTGCAATTATTTACACAGTTAAGATCACCCAGGAGTTGGAGTACTTTGAGAAAAACCACTATATATAAGACATTAAAATGTAAATCAAGCTAATTCAAGAAAAAGAAAAAAGTTCATACCCAGAGAAACATAACATGGTGGAAACAACGTGGGAATTAGAGTCTAAAAGGCCTGGAATTAAATCCTCATTTTGTAATTTACTTTCCAGGGGTCACAGGGCATCTTACCACTAAAAATTCTCTTATCTATATAATACTGATATTAATAATGATTTTACAGGGTTGTACTAGGAATTAGAATAAATGCAAAATCTTAGCACATAATAGGTACATAACACAGACGATTATCATTAAGCACAGTAACAGAAACTCAGTAACTACTGGCACACAAGGACAATTAAATGAAAGAAGAAAAGAGGAGAAAATAAGGACTTGTGGTCTGTGGATGGTAAGTGATAGTCCACTAAATTTTTTTAACAAGTTGATAGTTTAATAAGCTTAGTAATGATGGCAATAAACAACATTTTCTAACCTGTCATATTTTTATTTCTTTTAATCTAAACAAGATTGGCAACCCCCTTGCACATCTGATTATGTTCTAGGTACTGTTATAGGGCCCAAAAATTCAAATTATGATTCAGAACTAGTCGATACCAGAGTGAGAATAAATACCAAATTGGGGAGTAAGGGGCAGACTCATAAATAAGTAATCAAAATAAAATATCATCAATGATATAAAAGAAGTAAATACAGGGTGTATTAAGGACCAGCCATTTCTCTGAAGCTTTTGAGCAAAGCTTTACTAGGTAGAGATAATTCCTGAGGGTGCAATGTTTAGATTTTGAATAACAGTGGGTCACCATGGGATCATCTAATAATGACCTGCACTCTGAAGTGGCATTTCCATAAAATGCAGCTAGTAAAAACGAAAGCTGGAAACATACAGACTCATTATTGTGGAAGGGAATAAAGGAATTTGGAATTCTCCAGGCAAGGAGAAATCAGCAAGGGGGGTGACAAGATAAGTTTGGAAAATGAATTAGCTTAAAAATAGAAAGAGGGGCTAGTTATGACAGTTTTCACAAACACCAAATTGAAAGATAGTGAGGTCTAATTAAAATTATGTCACTGGACAGTAGGCTGCATAAGAAACATAAGTCTGGGTAGAACTGACATGACATGACATGAGCAGGAGAGATAAAGGAGACAGAAGAATTAAAAATGTTAGCTAGAGACAACCAGTGAATGGAGATGTCATTAATCAGTATGTAGACTTCCAGAGAATGGTACATTTTGGGGAGGAATATAATAATGCATTCGGTTTTGGACAGTATGGGCTGAGGTAACTAGAGGACATCTACATGGAAGTGCATTCTGTTCCACCTAATGGCATGCATACCAAAAAAGAAAACCATATAGGAGCCTCCTGTGTGTTTTTTGGGAATAAATGAGAACATCCACAGTTTAAGAAGAGTGTATGTGGGGCCGGCGCTGTGGCGCAGTGGGTTAAAGCCCTGGCCTGAAGTGTCAGCATCCCGTATGGGTGCTGGTTCAAGTCCCAGCTGCTCCTCTTCCAATCCAGCTCTCTGCTATGGCCTGGGAAAGCAGTAGAAAATGGCCCAAGTCCTTAAGCCCCTGCACCCGTGCGTGGGAGACCCAGAAGAAGCTCCTTGGCTCCTGGCTTCAGATGGGCATAGCTCTGGCCATTGCAGCCATCTAGGGAGTGAACCAGCGGATGGAAGACCTCTCTGTCTCTACCTCTCTCTGTAACTCTTTCAAATAAATAAAATAAATCTTTAAAAAAATTTGTATAAGAAGAGTATATGAAACATGCTTCTGATGCCCCAGTGAAATAGCCCAGAAAACACAGTCAAATTAAATGAATGATTCTTCCCTAATAAACTCATGCCCCTAGTGATCACTACTTCTTACTCAAGAGCTCACATTCTTGCTCTCATTTGAAAAATCACAACTAAATTTTCCTGTCTTCTTTTCACTCATCATAATTTCTAAAATCAAGATTCATCTCAGGTTAGGTTCTCTCAGTCAACAGATAAAATATATCAATAAAAAGGGACATGAAATAGGTGGCTTGTGATATTTTTCACACCACAAATTGAATTTTAGTTTCTTATAAATGTATGTCCCACCATTCTAGAAACAAAGATCAGAAAGCATATTTATCAAGTACCTACCAAGTTAAAGTGAGAGTTCAAAAAGATTATGTGTGGGGCCGGCGCCGCAGCTCACTAGGCTAATCCTCCGCCTTGCAGCGCCAGCACACCGGGTTCTAGTCCCGGTCGGGGCGCCGGATTCTGTCCCGGTTGCCCCTCTCCAGGCCAGCTCTCTGCGTGGCCAGGGAAGTGCAGTGGGGGATGGCCCAAGTCCTTGGGCCCTGCACCCCATGGGAGACCAGGAGAAGCACCTGGCTCCTGCCATCGGATCAGCGCGGTGCGCCGGCCACAGCGCGCCAGTCGCGGCGGCCATTAGAGGGTGAACCAACGGCAAAGGAAGACCTTTCTCTCTGTCTCTCTCTCTCACTGTCCACTCTGCCTGTCAAAAAAATAAAAATAAATATAAAAAAGATTATGTGTGGGCCCCAAACATAAAGGATCTATATTAGCCAAAGGAATTTTTCTATAAAAATCTCCAATCCATTGGGCTTATGTAAACCCCAATTTGGAACCTGCTAAAACAAGTATAGACGAGTACGTGAGGAAGCAGGGATGTAAACACATGTGGCTGGAGAAACAGAGGTGGAGATGCGGGTGGATCTGGGTTTGGTTAGGAATGAATCAGACCATCCCACAGAAGTGGCTCCTCCCTGGATGGACATGCTGCTATAAAAGGGCCATCAACCCAAACTTCAGTACCCAGCAAGCTCCTTCAGCCTGCTTTCTACTTGCTCTTCTGGTGAACAAGGTAAGAGAGAATACAACTAATTTTGCCTACTTAATATTAAGCAAGATAAAAACCAAAGAGTTCTGGTTGTTTTATCTTTTTCCTTCATATTTAGTGGCACTATCACTAAAAGTTTATTTCAATATAGCAATGAAACAAGGGCATAAATTGATTTCCATGAGGCTACTCAGTACTCTCTGCATTGTTATGGTATCTCCGTTTATTCATTCACTCAACATATCCAGATTAACAACCTTCTATTTGCAAAGTGCTGCTCTTAGCTTTGATTCTGCAGTAGTGAACTATAACTCTACTCTTAGAAAGCTAATTTAGAGTGGGAAGACACTCAGTAGATAACAAATAAATAAGATAGTTTCCAATGGTAATTAGAACAGTTGGAAAAGTAGAGAGTAAATCAGTAGAGTGTTCTTTAGATTTGGATGGCCAGAAAAGTGCTCTAGAAATATCTCTTTTTTCTTTTTTTTCAGATTTATTTATGTATTTATTTGTTTGTTTGTTTATTTATTTGAAAGGCAGAGTTACAGAGAGGCAGAGGCAAAGAGACAGAGAGAGGTCTTCCATCTGCTGGTTCACTCCCCAAATGGCCACAAAGGCCAGAGCTGTGCAGATCTGAAGCCAGCAGCCAGGAGCCAGGAGTTTCTTCTGGGTCTCTCACATGAGTGCAGGGGACCAAGGAGTTGGGCCATCTTCTACTGCTTTCCCAGGCCATAGAGGAGAGCTGGATCAGAAATGGAACAACCAGGACTCGAACCAGCAGCCACATGGGATGCTGGCACTGGAGGCGACAGCTTTACCTACTATGCCACAGTGCTGGCCCCCTCTCTTTTTTCAATTGACACACAACAATTATACATATATACAGGGTATAGTGTGATTGTGATATCTTGATACATGTATGCAATGGATAATGATCAGGTAAGGGCATTTAGTATATGCATCATCTCAAACATTTATCATTTCTTTGCAGTGAGAACATTCAAAATCCTTTCCTCAACCAATTATAGTGACCTATAGTTACCCTACTGTGCTGTAAAACTTATTCATCCTATCTAACTGCATTTTTATACTTGATAACCAGCCTCTCTCTATCCCCCTCTACCCACTACTCTTCTGACTCTCTGGTAACCACTATTCTTCCCTCTTATTTTTATGAGATCACCTTATTGGCTTCCCACTTAAAAATGACAACATGCAGTGTTTGCCTTTCTGTGTCTGGCTTATTTTACTTTCCAGGCTCATCTACATTGCCATAAATGACAGGATTTCATTCTTTTCCATGGATGAATAATATTCCATTGTGTGTGTGTGCATCACATTTTTATTATCCATTTGCTCACAGACTCCTGGGTTAATTCTGTATCTTGGCCATTGTGAAAAGTCTGAAATAAACATGGGTGTGCAGATACCTATCTCTTCAGCATACTGATTTCCTTTTCTCTGGATATATACCCAATAGTGTGACTCCTGGATCACATGATAGTTCTCTTTACTTGTTTGAGGCTTCTCCATACTGCTTCCCATAATGGCTGTACTAATCTACATTCCCATCAAGAGTGTTTAAGAGGTCCCCTCCCTCTGCATCCTCACCAGCAATTGTTCTTTTTTATCTATTTGATAATAGTAACTTTAACTGAAGATGGTATCTCAAGAGCTGGGATCTTAATAACATGATTCTAATGCAGAAATAAATCTGGTTCAAAGAATAAAATGTGCCTACAGCAAATTTAGAAAGAGGAATAGTGGTGTATGGTGATGCCAGAGAGCTAAAAAGAGGTGGATCATGTAAAGAGAGGGCACAATAGCCTTCGGGCATTATTTTAAACATATGAGCAGTCATTTGAGAGTATTAGGCAAAGGGTGTTGTTAAAAGACCACTCTGGGCTACTATGTGGAAAACACGATAGTTTTGATGAGACATAGTAGAATTGGTGAGAAAGTAAAAGACTAGAAATTATCCACAATTCCTGTCTTTATACCATACTGACTCACATCCATGTTTAATCAACTCAGCCTACAACACATGCCAATCCATCCAATTTGTCTCCCTCTCCACTGTGATCATCCTGGTCCATGCTACATCCATTGCCCACCTTTGACTCTGTCATTTCATGAAAATATTAAACATTTATTTTTCTGTGGATAGATATTTGGATTGTTTCCACTTGAGCAGGTATTATAAACAACAGGGCTATTAACATGTTCATATATGACTTTTGGCTGTGTATTTATATGCATATATAAATGTATGTATGGGCCGGCGCCGTGGCTCACTAGGCTAATCCTCTGCCTGTGGGGCCGGCACACCGGGTTCTAGTCCCGGTTGGGGCGCCGGATTCTGTCCCGGTTGCCCCTCTTCCAGGCCAGCTCTCTGCGTGGCCAGGGAGTGCAGTGGAGGATGGCCCAAGTACTTGGGTCCTGCACCCCATGGGAGACCAGAAGAAGCACCTGGCTCCTGTCCTGCCATAGGATCAGCGCGGTGCGCAGGCCGCAGCGCGCCAACCGCAGTGCGCCGGCCGTGGCGGCCACTGGAGGGTGATCCAACGGCAAAAGGAAGACCTTTCTCTCTGTCTCTATCTCTCACTGTCCACTCTGCCTGTCAAAAAAAAAAAAAATGTATGTATGTATGTATTTCCTTTGAGGATGCTTCTAGAAGTAAACAGCTGGATGTCAGATACTGCCAAAGGCCCTTCTGTGTTTCTGCAAGCTTATGCTTAACTCCAGCAAAATCTGACACATTTGATTTTTCATATCCTCACCAATATTTCATATTGCCAAGTTTCTGTTTCCCTTTTATCTTCTTACTCATTTCAGTGGATGAATTGTCATTTCAACTTGAATTTGCTCAGTGATTAACAAAGTTGAGAAACTTTGATATATTTATTGGGTATTTGAATATCTTTTTCTGTAAAGTTTCTGAGGTGGAGACCCATTTTTCTAGTGGATGTCAGCCTTTTTGTATTGATCCATTAGAGTTATTTTTACATCCAGGGCAGAGATTTTATTGGTTAAACATGCGGCATATATCTTCCTACTCTGTGGCTTGCTCTTTTCTTCTTTATTGGTATCTGCAAGTGAACACACATTCCTACTTCTAATGAAGCCCAACTTAACAATCATTTTCTTCATGATGAGTACTTTTTGAGTTCTATTTTGAGTTCTATTTAAGATGTATTTCCCTTCTCAGGGTCTTAAAGATATTCTCCCATGTTATCTTCTTTTATCTCTTGCATGTAAAATCCACTGGAAATTTTTTTCCCATATGGGAATTCAATTAATTAATTAAGCTACTAGAACTTTTGCCAGTGAGTACAAGAAAGAGTAGGGCATAGGGGTGTACCCAGGAAGCAATGAAAGAGATCAACCATAATGTCTAAGCAAGGTAAAAAGGGAAGAAAGTACATAAAGCAGTAAATAGAGAGGTCAAAAATTATTGAAGTTAGGGAACAAAAAGAAGATAAGAAAATGAGATCTTCTAGATAGAGATTTTAGACCTGACATAATTAAAGATAAGTTCAGGAACTATAATATGGTAAATAAGACTGAAAAAATTTTTAATTTTATGTGTGATTTTGGTAAGAAGTATATTGCTTTTAAAAATTCAATCTATCTTAAAATTTAGCAAGGTCTGGTCCACTTCACATTTTAATTAGTGATAAAATTCTATATAATTCTACTAATTTAATTAATGATAAAAGTCTATGTAATTCTAATTTATTTTATTCTTTCTGTTCACCTTGCCTTTTCTATGCTTCTTTACTTTCTTCTTCCCTGGTTTCTACTGAATTAATTGGGGATTTTTCAAATTGTCCCTTTTCCAATCTAAAACTGCAGAAATATAATTCTATTATTTTAGGGATACCTATAAACATCAAAATATTTAGTGAGAAATATATATTTAAATTCCTGTTCCCTCTTACCAAATAATCAAAATCCTTAGTGCTTTAGTTCTATTATAGTCATATTTTCACATTATTTTTTCCTAGAGTATTTTAGTTTCACTGGGCATTTTAAGTCCTATAGTGGTCATTACAATCCTTTTTTTTTTTTTTTTACAATAAACGCTTACTTAAATGTATTGATACAATTACCAACAACTGAGTTTACCAATAAGATAAATCAGAATATTTCTTAAATGGCAAAATTAAAGCTATTTTGTCTTCACCCAAAACAACACTTTTTAAAAATATTAAGAACCAGGGCCAGTGCTGTGGCGCAGCAGGTTAAAGCCCTGGCCTGAAGCACTGGCATCCCACATGGGCGCCAGTTCAAGTCCCAGCTGCTCCTCTTCCAATCCAGGTCTCTGCTATGGCCTGCGATAGCAGTGGAAGATGGCCCAAGTCCTTGGGCCCCTGCACCCATACAGGAGACCTGGACGAAGCTCCTGGCCAATTGAGGAGTGAACCAGTGGATGGAAGACCTCTCTCTCTGTCTCTACCTCTCTCTGTAACTCTGTCTTTCAAATAAATAAAACAAATCTTTTAAAAAAATTAAGAACCTATTAAAACAATACTATCCAATTAAAAATAATACAAATATCATGAAATTTAAAAAAAATTATGTGAAGGATCACTCAGCATTTTACCATTTGGCAAACTGGCTTTCAAATAACTGTCACAGCAAAGTAGTCATTTATAAATTTAGTTTCTTGGGAACTGATTTTCAGCACATTCAGAGGGGCAAAATTTCCTGCATCTGTCTAGTGCTTAATAAACTTGTGTTGAGCAAGGAGACTAAATCAGCCTTCTGATTATTTACATACACTAAAGTCTGTAAGACAACCTAAATCCTGCTATAAATGGACTTAAGGACAAGAAACAGCCAATTTTACTACATCAATTAAATTCTGTACTGATTTTTACTATATACGTGGTAAAGAGAAGTTTTTCATGGCTGTCATCCATTCTCAAAGATGAACTACTTAGGGGGGGATGTAGGTTTAAACTGTGGGAAATTGTTATAATAATATTATCTAAAGCAATAAAAAATTACAAGAAAACTTAACTTATATTTCTTCTTGCTAGGTTCACATATATCGCCAAAAGATGTCTACTCTCTTTGAAAACATCATTGCCATCACTGAACTTTTCCATCAATATTCACAAAAAGATAAAGACACTGACACACTAAGCAAAAAAGAGCTGAAGGAACTTCTGGAAAGAGAGTTTCGTGCAATCCTAAAGGTAAGACCTATCTGACAGAACTAAAGCACAGAGAGTTTCATTTCTTTGTCAATAATCTATCTAACAAAGGACAACTCCGAACATTCTGGAATTACTTCTTATGGAATAGAAACTCAGTTGGTCTTACTTTAAGACAGGTAGAACTGTGAGTTCATCCTTACATATCCGTATATGTACTATATAAGGCAGACAGTAAGAATCAATATTTAATGACAAATAAAGGATTCCCAGGTGAATAGTTTTTTATACTATTCTTCCCTGCAGCAAAATTGAAAGGAGAATATATTTAAAAGACAACTAAACTGCAGAATATATAAATTTTGATTTTTAAGTAAATGTATGTATTAAAAAAAGAAAAACAAAAAGGATACAAGAGAATAAACAATATAAAATGGTATTTGGTGAGAATGAGCTAAAAGAATCAAATAAAAAAATCTAAAACTTGATTCCTTTTGGTACCAAAAGTGCACAAGTTTCAATATTGGTCTAAATCGGTGATTGGTTTGATCTAATCTCCAACTGATATTTCCCACTGTATAGAACCCAGATGACCCAGATACTGCTGATGTATTCATGGAAATCCTGGATTTAGACCACAATGAAAAAATAGACTTTACGGAGTATTTACTGATGGTGTTCAAGTTGGCACAAGCATATTATCAGTCTACCACGAGACAAAACTTCCAAACATCAGAGCGAAAGCACAAAAGGCATAGCCACCAACACAAACAAAAAGAACATGACACAGAAGAAGAAGAGGAACCGAAGAGAACATTCAGGGATTCAAGAAGACATGATGGAAGTAAGAATAGGTCAAGACATAACACCTCAACAGAAAGAGGGAAAAAGAGACATGGGTCCACCTCAAGGGGACAAGAGGACAGAGATGAAAAAACTCTGCAATCAGAAACGGAAGGATACAGAAGAAAACGTCACGATTCAACAGGAAAGCAGAAAAGGAGATCTGCTTCGCGAAAAATGAGTGAAAAGAAACATAAGACAAACACTAGCCCCAAGAGAACAAGAGAAACAGAGGGAGATGAAATTTGTTATGGAAACAGAAAACAGATGTATGCAACTTGGGACAGTCCACAAGCTGGAGATTCACACTACAGACTAGAAGATGATGAAGAATCAAGCACACAAACATCAGGAACGAGAAGAACACAACAAAGAAGAAATGTCCACTCACGGGACAGCACGGGAGAGCAAGACACTACACCAGCAGGATCCCCCTCGGGGAGACGCACACAGCGGGGACCCAGTCCCGGTCAGGCCAGCGACAGCGAGGCCCACGCCGAGCACTCGGGCAGACAGGCCACACGCACCCAGGGCAGGTCCGGGTCCCACGCACGGGAACAACAGGCACCGCCCCGCGGACAGACCGCAGACAGCTCCAGGCACGCGGGGGAGCAGCAGGCACAGACCTCCAGACACAGGCAGGCTGACGCCGCCCAAGGGCACTCGGCATCCAGCAGGAGCGAGAGGCAAGGGGGGCAAGGGGCCCGGCACGCACAGTCGGCAGACAGCTCCACGCACTCAGGCACCGGCCACGGACAGTCCTCCCGGGCGTCCGGCGGCCACGGACACCGCCACTCCAGCGTCAGCCAGGCCAGCGATAGCGAAGGGCAGTCAGTGGACTCCGAAAGCGAGTCGGCGTCAGAACACGGCCGCTCCGCTGACTCCCAGCGGGACCAACAGAGACCCTCCGGCCGCCGCTCGGGAGAACAGTCTGGACACTCACGCGCTCACCTCTACCAGCTCTCCCAGCACGAGCAGTCCGAGGCGGCCCACGGGCAGCCCCGATCCGGTACTAGAGCCACACAGCAGTCCGGCCGCGAGCAGGAACGGGACGGCCCCCGACACGGGGCGCCTCGCGAGCGTGAGCGTCAGGACTCCACTGGTGGACGGCACGAGACCTCCCAGGGACGCTCCGGGTCCGGCAGCAGAGGAAGACAGGGCTCCCGCCACGAGCAGGCTCAGGACAGCTCTAGGCACGCTGCGCCCCACGGCGATCACGCCAGCTCCAGGGGACAGTCAGCATCCAGCAGCGGAGGGAGGCAGGGATCGCGCCACGAGCAAGCCGAAGACACCTCCGGGCGCTCTGGGTCCCAGCACCGCCAGACAGCCCCCCAGGGACGGTCCGACTCGGCCCACGGGCGGTCAGGAGCCCGGGGAGAGAGCACACCACGATCCGGCCACGGGCAAGCAGCAGATGGCCCTAGGCAGTCAGGCTCTCGGCGCCAACAGACTGCCACCGGCACAGACAGTTCCAGACACGCACAGTCTCCGCAGCAGGGACACGCGGCCGCTGGACCCGCGACAAGCAGACGCCGGGGGTCCAGTGTCAGCCAGGACAGCGAGAGCGAAGGCCACTCGGAGGACTCAGAGAGACAGGCCGGGGGCCAGCGTGCGCCCGCCCACGGTGTCTCAAGGGACAGCTCTGGCCACTCCAGGTCTCAGCAACGGGAACGCACCAGGGGCCAACACGCCGAGTCCGCCCAGGGACCCTCAGCAGCCGGAAGCACGGGAAGACACGGAGAGAGCCACGGACAGTCTCTAGACAGCCCCAGACAATCGGGCTCCCAGCACACGCAGGCCGAAACCTCCCAGGCAGAGTCCAGCCCAAGCAGCAGGAGGAGCAGGAGGCACGAGCAGTCACCGGACAGCGCCGGACACTCTGACGCCGCACCCGCACGATCCCCCTCGGGGAGACGCACACAGCGGGGACCCAGTCCCGGTCAGGCCAGCGACAGCGAGGCCCACGCCGAGCACTCGGGCAGACAGGCCACACGCACCCAGGGCAGGTCCGGGTCCCACGCACGGGAACAACAGGCACCGCCCCGCGGACAGACCGCAGACAGCTCCAGGCACGCGGGGGAGCAGCAGGCACAGACCTCCAGACACAGGCAGGCTGACGCCGCCCAAGGGCACTCGGCATCCAGCAGGAGCGAGAGGCAAGGGGGGCAAGGGGCCCGGCACGCACAGTCGGCAGACAGCTCCACGCACTCAGGCACCGGCCACGGACAGTCCTCCCGGGCGTCCGGCGGCCACGGACACCGCCACTCCAGCGTCAGCCAGGCCAGCGATAGCGAAGGGCAGTCAGTGGACTCCGAAAGCGAGTCGGCGTCAGAACACGGCCGCTCCGCTGACTCCCAGCGGGACCAACAGAGACCCTCCGGCCGCCGCTCGGGAGAACAGTCTGGACACTCACGCGCTCACCTCTACCAGCTCTCCCAGCACGAGCAGTCCGAGGCGGCCCACAGGCAGCCCCGATCCGGTACTAGAGCCACACAGCAGTCCGGCCGCGAGCAGGAACGGGACGGCCCCCGACACGGGGCGCCTCGCGAGCGTGAGCGTCAGGACTCCACTGGTGGACGGCACGAGACCTCCCAGGGACGCTCCGGGTCCGGCAGCAGAGGAAGACAGGGCTCCCGCCACGAGCAGGCTCAGGACAGCTCTAGGCACGCTGCGCCCCACGGCGATCACGCCAGCTCCAGGGGACAGTCAGCATCCAGCAGCGGAGGGAGGCAGGGATCGCGCCACGAGCAAGCCGAAGACACCTCCGGGCGCTCTGGGTCCCAGCACCGCCAGACAGCCCCCCAGGGACGGTCCGACTCGGCCCACGGGCGGTCAGGAGCCCGGGGAGAGAGCACACCACGATCCGGCCACGGGCAAGCAGCAGATGGCCCTAGGCAGTCAGGCTCTCGGCGCCAACAGACTGCCACCGGCACAGACAGTTCCAGACACGCACAGTCTCCGCAGCAGGGACACGCGGCCGCTGGACCCGCGACAAGCAGACGCCGGGGGTCCAGTGTCAGCCAGGACAGCGAGAGCGAAGGCCACTCGGAGGACTCAGAGAGACAGGCCGGGGGCCAGCGTGCGCCCGCCCACGGTGTCTCAAGGGACAGCTCTGGCCACTCCAGGTCTCAGCAACGGGAACGCACCAGGGGCCAACACGCCGAGTCCGCCCAGGGACCCTCAGCAGCCGGAAGCACGGGAAGACACGGAGAGAGCCACGGACAGTCTCTAGACAGCCCCAGACAATCGGGCTCCCAGCACACGCAGGCCGAAACCTCCCAGGCAGAGTCCAGCCCAAGCAGCAGGAGGAGCAGGAGGCACGAGCAGTCACCGGACAGCGCCGGACACTCTGACGCCGCACCCGCACGATCCCCCTCGGGGAGACGCACACAGCGGGGACCCAGTCCCGGTCAGGCCAGCGACAGCGAGGCCCACGCCGAGCACTCGGGCAGACAGGCCACACGCACCCAGGGCAGGTCCGGGTCCCACGCACGGGAACAACAGGCACCGCCCCGCGGACAGACCGCAGACAGCTCCAGGCACGCGGGGGAGCAGCAGGCACAGACCTCCAGACACAGGCAGGCTGACGCCGCCCAAGGGCACTCGGCATCCAGCAGGAGCGAGAGGCAAGGGGGGCAAGGGGCCCGGCACGCACAGTCGGCAGACAGCTCCACGCACTCAGGCACCGGCCACGGACAGTCCTCCCGGGCGTCCGGCGGCCACGGACACCGCCACTCCAGCGTCAGCCAGGCCAGCGATAGCGAAGGGCAGTCAGTGGACTCCGAAAGCGAGTCGGCGTCAGAACACGGCCGCTCCGCTGACTCCCAGCGGGACCAACAGAGACCCTCCGGCCGCCGCTCGGGAGAACAGTCTGGACACTCACGCGCTCACCTCTACCAGCTCTCCCAGCACGAGCAGTCCGAGGCGGCCCACGGGCAGCCCCGATCCGGTACTAGAGCCACACAGCAGTCCGGCCGCGAGCAGGAACGGGACGGCCCCCGACACGGGGCGCCTCGCGAGCGTGAGCGTCAGGACTCCACTGGTGGACGGCACGAGACCTCCCAGGGACGCTCCGGGTCCGGCAGCAGAGGAAGACAGGGCTCCCGCCACGAGCAGGCTCAGGACAGCTCTAGGCACGCTGCGCCCCACGGCGATCACGCCAGCTCCAGGGGACAGTCAGCATCCAGCAGCGGAGGGAGGCAGGGATCGCGCCACGAGCAAGCCGAAGACACCTCCGGGCGCTCTGGGTCCCAGCACCGCCAGACAGCCCCCCAGGGACGGTCCGACTCGGCCCACGGGCGGTCAGGAGCCCGGGGAGAGAGCACACCACGATCCGGCCACGGGCAAGCAGCAGATGGCCCTAGGCAGTCAGGCTCTCGGCGCCAACAGACTGCCACCGGCACAGACAGTTCCAGACACGCACAGTCTCCGCAGCAGGGACACGCGGCCGCTGGACCCGCGACAAGCAGACGCCGGGGGTCCAGTGTCAGCCAGGACAGCGAGAGCGAAGGCCACTCGGAGGACTCAGAGAGACAGGCTGGGGGCCAGCGTGCACCTGCCCACGGTCACTCAGGAGACAGTTCTGTGTCTTTTCAAAATGAAATAGGTAATCATACGGGATCTGAATCTTATTCTACTCCTCTTAATGAACATGATCCTTCTTCTGTTTCTGATGAATCTACATATTCCTCTGATGTCCAGACGTCTAGAAATCATCATAGTTATGGTGCTAACAATTCACATTCTGTGATTTCTGAAAGGGCGCTTTATGGATCAGGTGTTGGTTGGAGACATGGAAGCTATGGGAGTGCAGATTATGAGTATGGGCAGTCATGGTTTGGACATTCTCCACGTGGAAATGTCCTTCAGAATGCCAGACCTGAAGGAATCATTAGTAGACATGAGCGCAGAATAGCATGTGGATATGGAGGAGATTATGGGAGATACAATAATATCAGCAGTAATAGGCACTCGGGAATATATAGTCTTTCTAGTAATATACCAAAACAGTTAGGATTTGGGCGGTCACAAAGATACTATTACTATGAGTGAGAAAGTAATGGAAAACTAATTAATCCAAAGAGTAGCAGAACAAATCAAGAACACAGCTTTGAATCTATATACTTTTTCATAATTCTGTTTGGGAGGTTATCTTTTTCTTTATTTTCTTTAACATATTATTATACTTTCATTTCTTTGGTGCAAGTTTCTTTTTATTCTCCTGTGATTTTTTAAGTTTATTCTGGAAACATTAAATGGAAATCAATGCTATTAACAGCTAAATTTGGGAAAGTGCACTGGTAGAGATTAGGGTTCATAATAGTGTTTTTCATTCTGATATTAAATTTTAGTTCTACTTTTGCTAAAAATGTTATTGGAGCCAAAAAGATAAGATCACTCTTCTGTAAGCCAAATCTGCTATATTAACATTAGGCCTCAAGATATCTGCCTCTTTTATCTTTGCATTAAAACTTTGTATTATTCTGAATTCATTAAAATCACTTTGGGAATACTCATTCAAAAATATACTGAATGAAAAATTAAAAATAAAGCTATCATATAACATAGTTGGTCTTGTCTATACTTATTTCCCAGAAACCCAAAAGACTTACTTCTCCATGGCCAGAATTCTATCTTTTTCCCATATCACTGGAAAGATATATGATTACATTGCAGTTTATGCCATTTAAATCATAAATGAGAAAAATTAGCCAAATCCTATATTTTTCTCCAACACAATCATTTTCCCTCATAGGCACCTTTAAGAAGTAAAAGGTCTTTGCTCAATCATGAATATCACCATCATTGATATAAAAAATGTCAACCTAAGCAGCTATTAGCTTGTAAAACCAAGATCAGGAAACAGAAATTACTAATCATAGTTCCTTCCACCAAAGACATGAGGAAATGCCTTCCAGTGAAGAATAAGGGAATAGGGAAGCTATGTGAAATCCCCTGTCAGAGGAAAAGCCTTAATGAAAATGTCAGAGTGTCCAGAAAGGAAATCACATGTACCTTTATGATTCAGCCAAGTGTATGAAGGGGGCTTGGGGGTGGTTGGGCGAACAGTAAAAGTATCAGCATGGTTCTATGATTAAAAGCAACACTCCTCTGTGAGAATCATACCCAAATTTTCCTTCCCATCAGATTAGATTGGAAGGCCAGTGTTTTCATTTTCAGATAAGTTTATCACACAGTCCATTCCAAAACTGCAATTAGATTTCAAGTCTCTAAACTCTCAAATTAATGGTTTCATAGAAGCTGTCTTTCTTGAAATTTTTCCTGAGTAAAACAAGCTAACATGGAATTGATTGTCAAAGTTTAAATGATCCCCAATAGGGGTAGTGAGTGAATGAAAAGCAACAAGCAAGCTCATCTTTCTAATTATCTCAGACAATATGGTGTGTGTCTTCACAATCACTTGAAAGGGGCACTTCCCTCCCATCTTCCCTCCTTCCTGTCTACAAATTTCCTGCTTCCCCAGTTGAGGTACTATCTCCAAATACCCTACAAAACTGCCAGCTCCACAAGGTTCCAGACCTGCAGGCCTTGCTGAACTGCTGCAGACACACATGTGGGGAGAAAATCCTGTCCATTTCTATGACAATTTTTGCCACCTTGTTCCCAGTCTCATAACCTGCTGATTCAGCTCACTCTCGTAGCTTCTCTCTAAAGAATTCAGGTCTCACTAACGGGATGAGGAATACAAAACTATAATGAAGAAATAATACAGACCCTCGGGGCCGTGCCGGGACCCGCGCGGACACAAAGTTTGTGGAAGAACAAACGCCAAAGGCTCAGATCTTCACAAGAAGCCTTGAGGAAGGCCTGGGCTTCGAATATGTGATGTTCCATAATGAAGCTGAGAAAAGAGTAGTTTGTGTTTTCCAAGGAGGTCCTCATCTGCAAGGAAACCATGGATACGTTCATGGAGGTGCCATTGCAACCATGATTGATATTACAGCTGGTACATGTGCAGTTTTAACTGGAGGATATGCCATGACTGCCAATCTAAACATCAATTTTAGAAGGCTTATTTATAAAGCTGGATCCTAACAAAGCCTGAAATAAAAGATCTTCTGGTGGGGGCTGGCATTGTGGCATAGAAGGTAGAGCTGCTGCCTGCAGTGTCAGCATCCTATATGGGCACCGATTCGAGTCCTGGCTCTCCACTTCCAACCCAGCTCCCTGCTATGGCCTGGGAAAGCAGCAGAAGATGGCCCAGGTCCTGGGCCTTTGCACCCACATATGAGACACAGAAGAAGCTCCCGGATCCTGGCTGCAGATCGGCCCAGCTTTGTCTGTTGCAGCCATTTGGAGAGTGAACCAGCAGATGGAAGACCTCTCTCTGCCTCTGCCTCTGCCTCTGCCTCTCTCTGTAACTCTGCCTTTCAAATAAATAAATCTTTAAAAAAAAAAAAAGAAAGAAAGAATACAGACGTGGCCTTAACTAAGCTGAGATGTGATGGAAGGACACTGACAGGCATCACAATAGAGACAGCCAGAAATATGTACTCTACAACTGCTGAACCCTCAATGTTTTCTCAAGAACCCATAAAAGACTGAAAATGTTTTCTTTCATGTCCCTGCTTGCTCAAGGATAGAATTACCACTCTTTTTTTGCTAGCTGACAACAAATTGGTTTACCCAAAAAGGTGCAAACAAGATTTACTGCAACATCACTTTTTTTTTGTTCTCTCTGCTTCCCTCTTAAACATCTGCTTTTGTTCCCTAACTCAGCCAACTAACTCTCTTGCAAGGAAATCAACAATTTTCAAACTAAATAACTAAATGTTTCTAAGTTTATCCTTGGCTGGAGTAATCTTCAGGCACAAACTCTGTCCTCCTTTCTCTCCCATTTCTATACAAAAGTTTTCTCCAATGTGTATCTACCTATATCAACTTCATCAGGCGGGAAAATATATAGAGAGAAGAGGGAGGGCAGGGCACGTTTATTGTTCACAGTCTTTGCCCACACATCTGCAGTCTCCTGTGAAGGGGTTTCTGTCAGTCTATCCACAGGAATTTGCATAGCTGCTCTGAAAACTTTTTGTTACTGCTGCACAGCAAGATAAGCACAGAAATTGAGGGTAAGGGCTTAGAAACATTTTTACAACAATTCGGTACTGATGTAGTACCCAAGTGTATGATCATTATTCAAAATTGTGTAAAAGTTGTAAGTCTCTGACAGACTGGAAACAAACCCTGATCCTTCACCACACACAATAAGAGAAACACAACCAACGGGGGTTTACACTCTGTCCAGCTAGTCAAGATATAAACAAGAGTGCCTCAATCAAATCTCTACATTAAATGGATAAGTATCTCCACAAATATCTAAAAATAAATGGAGCAATTCAAGAAACAAGAATAAGGAAGACAACATGACACCTCCAAAGGAATATAACAACATTTCAATACTAGAATGTGAAAATGATGAGACTGAAGAAACGCAGGAAATGGAATTCAAAAAACTGATCATAGGATTACTTAAAAGTAATCAGAAGCAAATCCATGAATTAAAGAAATGCATACAAGATGTGAATGAACACTTCTCACATGAAATTAAGATTTTAAAGAGAAATCAAAATGAAATATTGGTGAAGAATTCAATAGATCAAATTAAAAAATGCAAGGGAAAGCCTTAACAACAGAATCAGTGAGGCAAAAGAAAGGATATCCAAGACAAATTGCAGGAAATTTTACAGTCAGACCAAAAAAAAAGAAGAAATTAGAAAACTAAAAAAACAGTGTCAGAGATTTATGAGATACTATCAAATTACCCAACATTCTGGTCTAAGGAGTTCTTGAAGATGTGGAAAGACAGAATGGATTAGAAGGCCTTTTTACTGAAATAATTACAGAAAACTTCCTTAATTTAGAGAAAGAAAGGGACGTCCAAGTACAGGAAGTACACAGAATTCCTAAAAGACATAATCAGAAAAGATCCTCACCATGACACATTGTAGTAAAACTCTCCACAGTAAAACATAATTAAAAGATTCATTGCACAAGAGAAATGCCAGATTACTTTCAGAGAATCTCCAAGTAGACTCATAGCTGATTTCTCATCAGAAATCCTTCAGGCTAGGAAAGAATGGCAAGATATAGTACAAGTCTTAAGAGAAAAAAAACTGTCAACCCAAAATATTGTACCCTGCAAATCTCTCATTTAGGAATGAAGATGAAATAAAGACCTTCCATAAAAGAAATTCAAAGAATTTGTCACCACTCATCCAGCCTTATAAAAGATGTTTAAGGATGTGCTGCACTTAGAAACAGAGAAACATGGTCATCACTATGAAAAAATGTGAAGGCAGAAAATCTCCCAATAAAAATGTGCAAAGGGAATCCAAAGTAAACAATAGAAATATTTATGAAAGAAAATGTCAGGGCCACGCTGTTACTTATCAATAGTCACTTTGAAAGTAAATGGCCTCAGGCTGGTGCCGTGGCTCAATAGGCTAATCCTCCACCTGTGGCGCCGGCACCCTGGGTTCTAGTCCCGGTTGCTCCTCTTCCTGTCCAGCTCTCTGCTGTGGCCCAGGAGTGCAATGGAGGATGGCCCAAGTCCTTGGGCCCTGCACCCACATGGGAGACCAGGAGAAGCACCTGGCTCCTGGCTTCGGGTCAACACAGTACACTGGCCACAGTGGCCAACAGAAAAGGAAGACCTTTCTCTCTGTCTCTCTCTCTCCACTCTGCCAGAAGGAAGGAAGGGAGGGAGGGAGGGAGGGAGGGAGGGAGGGAGGGAGGGAGGGAAAGAGAGAGAAAGAAAGAAAAGATACAGACTGGCTGAATGGATTAAGAAATAAAACCCATCTATTTGTTGCCTACAAGAAACACATCTTATCAGCAAACACATCTCATCAACAAAGATACATGGAAAAAGATATTCCATGCTAACAGAAACAAAAAAAAAATTGGTGTAGCCATCCTAATATCAGACAAAATAGACTTTAACACAAAACTGTTAAGAGAGACAAAGAAGGGCACTATGCAATGATTAAGGGATCAAATCAACAGGAAGATGTGACTGTAATAAATGTATATGCACTCAATTACAGGGCACCTGGTTATTTCAAAGAAATTAATGGATCTAACGGGAAACATAGACTCCCATACAATAGTAATGGGGGACTTCAATACCCCACTTTCAGTAATGGAAAAATCAGCCAGACAGAAAATCAGCAAGGAAACAACAGTTAATCGACACTATACACCAAATGGACCTAACAGATATCTAGGATAGACCACAGGCTAGGCCATAAGGCACATCTCAGCAAATTCAGAAAAATCAAAGTCATACCATGCATCATCTCTGCCCATAATGGAATACAATTGGAAATAAACAACTTAAGCATCTCTAGAACATATGCAACACATGGAGACTAAACAACACACTCCTGAATGAACAGTGGGTCATAGAGGCAATCATAAGAGAAATCAAAAACATGTTGAGGAACAGTTTTTTTTTTCATACTATTTGTTCAACTCCTTATTTAGTATAGAGTTAATCTTCTGTGTATAAAGTTAATTGAAAATAGATTTTAGTGAAAAATAATAA